CTTTTTGTAGAAATGATGGTCAACTAACATCTTTCGATAAATATGTCTTTGTTATGTTTGCAAGATAAACACGTAACAAAATAATATGGGAAGGGAACAAGAGAGTACTTCGTTAGGACGCCACACAATATAGTTAACTAAACATTCTTACATGGTTGATAATGAATATTGGATTTGATACAACAAACAGGTTTTTAACCCTTGTTGAAAAATTTAAATATTGATTTCAACCACCATTTTATAATGACATTAGTAGAGAGATAGAGATCAGAAACTCATACCTTTCACCTTTCATTGGTGAAGTAATTGTAACATTGGAGGATGTTGTCCTACAACTTGGTATTTCAATTGATGGAGAGTGTATTACTGGTCTAAAAAATGATGATTTGACCTTTTTTTGAGAATTATTATTAAGTTCAGCTTCACCAGAAGGAGTGACGAAAGGAAATTCAATTAAACTTTCTTTGTTGAATACAACCTTCTAATAATTTTCTTATGGTGCAGATGACAATGTTATTGCTCAACATGCTCGTGCACACATTTTATGCATCATAGGAAGTTTATTGATATTAGTTTCTCGAGTTCACTTGATGTATCTTTTACTTTTGCTATGTCTAATTACAGTTGGAGATCTGTTGTGCTTGCTTGTCTTTATCAAGCTTTGGACCATGAAATTGACCCTCGTTAATAAAATATTGGAGATTGTATATTACTTCTTTAATGCTAGGCATGAGATCAGATTACATGTCTTTGTTCATCTGTTGAAGATTTGACTGATCAAGAGGTTGATGCATGATATGATTTTCCCCTATTTTTATGTATTTCTTTACAATATTATTATTTTTTATCTTAGGTGGTCTCAACCTAATCAGAGATCAAATACTTCTGCATACGTTGTACATGTAGTACAATACATGTTGGATCAATTATCACCAAAGGAGGTATTACAAAAATATATTTGTTATTCTTACATACATATTTTATTTTCAAACAATATATTTTTAACTTAATATGCAATTTATATGAATTCCTTAATGTAAAAGTGATCTATGACAACTAATAAATGTTAAAGTTTCTTTTCTTTCACGTGTTATAATACCTCTCATTTATTTTATAACTGTTGAGTTTCATCAGGTTAATCGAGTTATGAGACAATTTGGTCTATAATAAAATATTTCTCATGATCCAATAAACCTATATGAACTTCATAAATATAAGGGACAAAACAGACATATTTTTGCCAGAGAACCATCAATAGTTGATTGCATTGTTGAACGATCGACATAATTGACTAATTTAAGGTCAATAGTTCAATGGAAATGAACATTTATGTGAAAGTATATCTTATATGCAATGATATTTTCAACATACTATATAACATATTTCCATTCAACAAGTACAAAATACCAATGATGAAGTAAGTATGAAATATTATTTCAATTAGTTATATTTAAACCACAAATATTAATTTTATATATTTGTTTCATTACTATGATATACCATAGGAGAAAAAACAACACCAAACACCTTAATCAATTTATTCACATGTTGGTCCATCTAGTTACCAACAACCTGCTCAGTTAAGTTATCAGCAAACTGGTTCATTTAATTATCAACAACCTAGTTTGTCAAGTTATAAATAAATTAGTCAATCTAGTTTCCAACATGTTCCATTATCCGATTATGTAGATCATCTTTAAAATCTAGTCGGGAAAGCCATTTTGGAAGACATGTCCCTTACATATTCAATATGATGTCTTCTGGATCAAATATTTTTATCACCTCCTTCGTGACACCACCTTCAACATATCATCAAGTTAGATATATGAATTTTTATCGACCAACAATACCTACACCTTAAAATCCAATTCAAGAAGATGAACATAATGATAATGATACAAAAGCACAACAAACATATGTCCCTTAACAAAATGAAAGACCTAAACAAAATAAAAGATCAACTTGTGGAACAGGCCTCCAACACTAGATTATTTTTTGGTTAGCTTTGTATTACATTATTTTGCATCATGTAATTATTTCTATTAATATTAATATATGTTATTTTATGAACTACTCTTATATTTTATTTCTTTTTTAGTTAAAATATGATAAAGAAAAATATTACAAATTAATGATCCCTGCTTGTATATTTACAATTTTAGTTTCTTACCTTTTTATATTATTTCATATTTTCATATTTATTCATTATTTATTAATAATATATTATTTGACTCCCTAAAAATCATTGATTAAGATTCACCCTTGTTCATGTATACAATAATTAACTCGATATTTGGATAAACACCGATACCAAAAGCCTAACAAACATGTTCAACAAAAATAATAGAGGTAAGATCGAAGGAATAATAAGGTACCTTGTCAAGTACCCAACTATACTGGAGATCTAATATGAGAGGAAACTCTCATTTTCCATCTACCCTAGGGATGATAGGATTGGCCCCAACCACAACATCTTGGGTCGTGACCTATTTTGACCAAAATGGGCCTTATGGTGAGTAAAACCTCATGCTCCAAACTTGATAGAAACAAAAATAACCTCCATAAAAGGAGGAGCCTCCACACATGAGAAACTTTTAGAAGAGTCAAAAGAACTTTCCTTTCTGGTGGACTTATGATTGATGGACTAAATTTTGCATTTAGTCGAAGGTGATTTGAAGGAGGATGAACCGCTAGAGGTAGCAAATGAGCCCAAAACAAAAATAGAAGACATGGTAAAAGTAGGAAAAACATAAACACAAATAGAAGCAAGTGTGCCTAGAATTTGTTACAACGAATGAATGAGAGCAAACTTGAAGAAGAAAAAGTCAAACATAAGAGACAAATGGTACAATACTTATTATATGAAGAAAAAATCACTTTGTGTCCATGTATTTACCTAATCTAAGAAAGGTCTTTTGAGAAGAAACCCTAGCGATGATGTCATTAAAGACAATATTTCAAATTAGACCTTCAATAATACATGTTAGAGCATTCAAAGCGCCTCAAGTATGCCAAGTAAACAACTAAGCACAACTGAGTTAAAGATTTATAATGAACACACCTTAATCAAAACTTTAGAATGAACATACATCAACCAAAACTTTAGATAAAACATAACACCTATATGACATTGTAGGTCACTCATCTTTAGTAAACTGACTTTAAACTTGCAATACTTATGTACCTATCTCGATTTTGTGTATTGTATACAAGACACAAAGCCATAAAGGACTCTTAGAATATAATACTATTTAATTAATAAATATTTAATATCAATACCTAAAATCATAATGAAGCTTATTACTAGATAATAAAAGAGAAAGTCAAGATACACCTAAATAATTAGTATAATTGAAACTTAAAAATAATATTATTTGTTACTTAAAATTAACTTGGTAAAAGTTCTATAAATAGGACAACACTATTTTTTACCCTTACAAATTTTATTTTTTTACATTCTCATTTTTTTCTTATATATTGTTATATTGTTATTTTTCTCTAATGTCATCTATAACTCGAAATTAAAAACTAAAAAAAAATAGTAATTCAATTTTGTCTAATTGAGCACTACTCATTTATAGTACAACTTTTTAATGTAATAAATTTTATTTTTGAAGACGAAATCTAATAACAAATTTCACTTTCTTAATTTTAACAAACATAAAAGCTAACAAGTAAAATATTAAAATGATCTAAGTTAAATTAATACATTAATTTTATCAATATTACAAGAAATATTAAAATATTTAAAAACATACTACATTATATCTTTAAACAATAAATATTATGAAATACAATTAGAAGAACTTGTAATATTTCTTTTAAGTGTTGTAAGTAATAAAAACACTTGCACGTCAGAAATTCAAATAGAAAAGAAGAATAAAAGAAAAATAAAAAAATAACTTAATGAATATAAAATTTTAAAGTGTAAAGGAAATTAAAAATAAAATTAGGTGAAAATGCATATACTCATTTTAATTTTGAGTTTTCCCTTGATAGAGAAACTTTGAAATTAAGTTTAGGAGAGAGAGGAATACAAGAAAGAAATGGCATGAAATATAAAGTTACATATCTAGACAAAAAGAAAATATAAAAATATTATAAATGAAAGATTCAAGACTTTTAATTAAACCTTATCTAATCCTATTATCTTTTTCAATCATAAATTGTAGTCACGAATATGACATTGACTTAAAAATAGATTGTACATTTCAATCATCTAATTTGCTTTAAATATATGCCTTGCACACACATACAAACAATGTGGGGTGTGTTATGTAGATAAATCTATCATGAAGAATAGGATGTTCAAAATCAAATCCATCAAAAAATAAAACTAAAAATCACTCCAAACCAATTGAAATTTGATCAAAATTGATTTTTTTTTTAAATTGAAAAAATTTAAAACTGGTTCATTTGGTTCAATTTTTAATTTCACAGTAAAAAAATCCATTCGAACCGAACTGAAATTATAATATATACTACTAAAATTGCGTGTAATTGTGTTTACTTGTATTTTGAGAAGTAGCATCGTAACGCTTTCATGTATTTTTATAATATGTATACAATTTTTTTTTATTTTTTTTTCATACATGCGAGTTAACTTATATAACTTACAGAACGATTCAGATAAACTATTTCGTAAGTTTTACACGGAGCCCTTATTTGGAAAGTATTAATTTGGATTTGGAAGATATTTTCTATTAAACTATATACTAATATTATTTCTTATTGAAGTGATGAGGTATATATAGAAACACAACAACTACATTAATTGATCTTAGGTTGGGGATGTCTAAAATTAAAGGACAAGGTAAGTGGCTTGGTGCTATCAGTTGCTGGTTGCTAAAGGCCCTAACAATAATTAAGGACAGTAACTAAGTTAATTGTAGCCCACCAAATCCTCCCCCACCACAACTATATGAAAATGAAAGATTGTGGGACACAAACCAGCAAACATACACAAAATAGATGCCATTTTGCAAAAGTGTAAGTCCAAAATGGCTGTTATCATAACCAAAGTATTATTTATCTAACACTGCCATCATTCCCATCATTCCTTCCTCTAGACGCGCCTATATATAATATATAGTAAAAGATATGTGCACAGTTAAGAACTGAAAATATATGAATCAAGTTAGGGTTGGGGTTGGGGTGTATTGGGAATTTTGGTGACTTCGATGCCAAAAGTGCATGTGGGGTATGGAAGAACATTGAACCCTAAGCCATTTTGATGCTTCTTGTTACTCCACTAAATTATGATATCATTATTAATAGTTTTAGTTTGTCTACTAATTTATGATACTAGGAGTAGTTTACCCTTGGTTAAGGCACTATTCCAGTATACTTTAATGGCAAAAAATCACCCAAGGACATGGACATGGCATCAAAATAATGATGGACAGAGAATAAGTACTTTTTATTAATTTTAGTTTTATGGTTATTAGAAAATACTCTAAAAAAGAAGAAGCTGAAAAGTAATTTGTATTTTAGCTCAAAGTTATATATTAAACAAGCTTATTATTATATAAACCACATACTATAAAAAATAGTGTTAAATCTAGATAGAGTCTTAATAAAATTAAAAATAAAAAAAACCCTTGTCACAAAATTAGTTTGATGACTTGACCAATCTCCATTTGGAATTAGAGTATTCCATAAGCATGAACCCTTTTTCTCGTAACTTGATAATATTATGTATTACAGGAATTACGTCATCTGTATCATTAAAATAACAGCTATATTTTCAGCCTTTACACATAGTTTGGTGCTCTTTCACCATCAAGACAAGTCACAAAGAGAGGAAACTTTCCTTTTATAATATTACCAATTATGAGTACTAATCCCAAAATTTAAGGGCATATAACAAAAGTTACAAAATGTTGAAAAATAGACAAAGCAACCAAACGCACTTATAGGCCCAGCTGTGATCTTCATCTCTCACATGCACGCTTTAATTTCCATGCATAGTGATCTCACCTACACAATGCTGGGATAATGTTCCCACATTTTATTTTTCAAATAAATAATTTATGTACTGGTATTATTATGTATAATCAATTTATTATTTTTTATATTTAATACCAAAAAAATTGCACCTATAGATTAAACTCTTCAATATTTTACCAAAATATTGCTCGTGAATATACACACTTTAGAAAAATTTGATAAAAAAATCCAAATATATATTGAAAACAGAAAATAAATTTAAATACCAAATATTAAAAACCTCAAGTCTGAAAACAACGAATCATTATAGAAATACATGAAAAATATGTAAACTAATATTTCATATGGAAGAAATGGCCCCACATCCGAGGTTCAAATATAAACGTCACAATAAAAGAATAATGTTCATAGTTGGAATATTTCTCTTAAGAATTAATATAAAAAAAAGTAACACAAGATAAAGTCTTAAGCCATCTCAATTTGATAGTTGGCTAACTAAAAACCAAACCAACACTTTGTCTTTGTTCCTTTCGTGTATGTTTTTTATTTTTTCAACGACAATGCAACGTTCATCGTCTACAGCTTCTTTATGCGCATGGAGACACATCGTATAGTGTTTTTTAAGGGCCACTTCGATCTTTATTTTCACCCAAAAATTCGCCACCCGTGAATGAAATCGAGTATAGTAATGAGTTTCTTTTGCCCTTTTTTGTGTTTTAAAATAAGTTTTAGATGGGTGAAAATTATTTTAAGAAAAACAAAATCGTCTAAACTATTTTTCTTTTACTACTTAAGTTAAATAGTTATTTTATATCCACTTTAAAATTTCATTCTTGCGTATAAATTATAGTAACGTAATTAATTTTATTATGGATACCATTTTGAATAACCAAACTCACAATCTTTAAATGTTGGATTATCTTGTGATTATCCTTCTACATTTTGATATTACACACAAATTTGAGTAACTCAATCTAAAAAAATTTGACATTCTATCAATGGATAATAACGGAGGAAATAATTTAATAATAATAATAATAATAATAATAATATTATTATTATTATTATTATTATTATTATTATTATTATGACTATTGTTACTATTATTAGTGTTTTTTAATGTCACTAATATTTAATATTTTTAATAAACAACAAAAAAAAACATTTTTCATATATTTTTTAAATAATTTCCAATTTTTAAGTTTTTAAAAACTAAAAACCTGATAGATAACTATTTTCTTAAAATATTCTTATTTTAGTTTTAAAAGCTTTTAACTTTTAAAAATTTTAAATTTTTAAAAACTAAAAAATTGAAGTGTTTTCTGTTATTAACGTTTTTACTATCAATTACATCAAATATTCATTTTTATCATAGTATACTTATTAAATTTATTTTTTTAACTTCCGTTTTTTAATTATTTATATTATTTTTTATTTAAAATATCATTATTTTATACATTTTCTAACTTATTTTTAAAAATAATTTTTTAAATTTATCTCTAAACTATTTTTAAAAATTAAAGAATAAAACTAAATCATGTCCTAATTAATTTTCATGGGATCATGTACTGTTTTTTTTATCTGTTTAAACTAAATTTAAAAGTTTTTTTTTATATGATTAGACTATTTCTTACACTCCATTTTATATATAAAAAATATAAATTTATTTTTGCATATTATTAATGTACTTTGTTTATACTATTGACTAATTATGATATATAAATTTTTTAAAACAGTAATTATAAAAATTAATACATTTATCATACATAATGGAATGAAAATATAAAATTAATACATCTATTTAAATATAGTTTAGATTCAAGTCAAATCAAATTGCAATTTATGTTTCACATCTTAATCTAATTAAATAAATTTATTTTTATATTCGAAATGTAAAGTTGAAATTCCAAATATCAATCCAAACATGTTGTTTAGAAAACTAACATTTTTGAAGAATTTGCAATGTTTATTTTGTGTTATCCATTGACTCAGGTGGTGGTATATACGTAAATAGAAGAAAAACGGAGGGACATTATGGGGAAAAAGGTAGTCAAAAGAACGACACCCGCCAAACAGCAGTCCCCGCTGTAAAAGAACGTTAAAATAAAAAAAATAAAAGCCACGGTACGGTCTGATGATGTGGCCAAGCGCGCGCACGCGCGCGTGTGCACTCTCTCCCGCCGTAGTTGGGCACGGTGGACGTGGGGTCGGCGCGTGGGGCGACGGAGGGTGGCCCCACCTGGAGGGAGGGCGTAACAATGATGCAGTTAGCGAAAAACAAAGTGATTTCAAGTCGTTGGGAGGGGAGACAAATGAGTCAGGTTTGCAAGCTTTTCCTTTCACTCTTCTTTTCTTTCTTTCTTTCTCTCTTTTTTAACCTTTTCATAAAGCAACGCTAATGGCCACTCCTTAGATTCTTCTTCTTCTTCTCAACCTCCTTCTCCTTCTCCTTCTTCTTCATCTTCTTCTGTTCTTCTTGTATCACTTCAACTTCAAACCTGTCTTGTCTCTTTCTCTTTTTGCTTACCTGCAACCGGCTTGAGCAGTGGTAACTCTTTGTTTTAATCACTGTCTTGGTTCGGTTACTCTTATTTTTATGTGGGTTCTTTGTGGTCTGTACTCTCTCTCTCTCTCTGTCTGTCTCTGTCTCTGGCATTTCCATTTTGGTTGCATGCAACACTTTGCTCTCCATTCACACTCACTTTGATTTTCATTTTTCTTTCTATTCTTTGCTTCAGTTGCCTTTCAAGTGTTGCTGAGTAAGAAGTAAAATTTTACCTTTTTGTTTCTTTTTGCATCTGTGATTTAAGTAGAATGGAAATTGTGGAATGTGGGTTGGGTTGACAACGTTCAGTAATGCATTTTTAGATGTTGGTGTAATTGACAGACAATCCTCTTGTTTGATCTCGAATTATCAATTCTTCTAGTTTCTTTCTCACTTTTTTCTTAATTTTGTTATTGATTAAGTATTAGGCGCCTGCGTCATTGTCTGCAATTTTTCATTTTTGTTGTGTAGATCTATGTGGTTCCATGATTTTGCGTGTTTGTTGGGGGTAGGAGAAAGCATGTTTTTCTTAATCTGAATTTTGTTTCTATATTAGGAACTGCTACACTAACTTGAAACTTCACTTGATGATGTAGTTTGGTAAGATGAAGGCTTTATCTCTCTTTTTTGACGAAATATATGAGATAAATCACTCTAATGTTTTTTGAGATTAATAATCTACCCCAACATAGATGTTAGTTTATGTTATTGGTTCCAATCTTTCCTTTGACTATTACCACTAATCCTAGATGCTGCTGCTGCTACTACATTACTTTTCTTCTAATTTAATCAAGTACTAATTCTTCCATCCCTTTTCTTTCCCCGTTTTTAGTTGTATATGAATTGATTGACAATTGATGAATTCAATCACTTTTTTAGTCTAAACCCATCTTGCATTTTTTATCAATCTAACTATCTCCGCCTCAAATTCTAATCATTGGTGATAACGCTTTAAGTCCTTTTACCTCTATAAGTATTTGGTAACATCACTCTCTAAGTCTAATTACCTCTTATACAGAACTTGGATGGTTTGATTTGCCATGTCATTCGTTATTGGCAGTTGGCAGATCATCAGGAACCGTGATGAACTTATTTTGCTTAGGTTTTGATTATAGTTTGATCACATACTTGCATGGACATGAATTTGGAATGTCCTTTCCCTGTTGTCTGGTACGCTTCTTGCATAATCAAATGTGTTTGATGCTTCTTAAAGTTCATGCATATGCATGGCGAAGAAGAGTGAATGTCTAGAGCTTGTTCAATCTAGTTAGGCTAAATGAAGACATTTATTTAGTATTGATTTTTCAAAAGGAGCATTGAGTAGTAGACAGATCCTAGAAGTATGAACCATACCTATTCCATCATTCTTTCTAGTTTTTAGCATTCTTTCATGACTTAACCTTCTCTAAATTACATGCCATGTGTCCTCAATACGCTTCTCTAAGCTGGGTTTGATTGTAGTGGTTGATGAAGAGAGGAGTCTTCTATACTTAAATTTTGTTTTACTTTTGACTCATCACTGATATATTCTTAATTGAAGACCTCACACTAAATTTCATATTGTTTTTCACCAGACTACACCAATTTTCATCATGACGAAGATAAGTCCTGAAGTTGAAATCAGGATGCCAATGGAGGCATTTCCACCGGTTTCAGCTGATGTGAGCTTTATTTATGATAGCTTTCCGAAGTACAAACTGGGAGCTGATAATCAAATTCTGGAAGAGCCAGTTGAGGATAATCAGGGTCCTTCATTGAAAGATGTTATTGAACAGGAAGCTTCCAATTTGTCAGACCAACATAAGCGTATCTCAGTACGTGACCTTGCCAGTAAATTTGACAAGAACTTGGCTGCAGCTGCCAAGTTGTCTAACGAGGTTTCCGTCTCTATTATTTGCTTATGGTCTACTATTTGATTATTTTCCTTTACTTAATATAAAACATTCAATTTATTTTCAACACTTCCTTGTTCTGTCAAATACACATTAGTCCGGTGAAAACCGAAGATAGAATAAAATAGCAGTTTCAAGTTAGATACCTTTTAGATTTTATTCAATCAGGTGTGTCATTGTTCAAATAAAGCTTGTTATTGACTTCAAATCACGGTTCATCCATGTTTTTTTTTTTTGGTAGTTAATTTGAGACGTGTTTCTTTTCTCAATTTCTGATGATTCCCCGTCCCCCTTTTCGTGTGGAATGCAGGCAAAGCTCAGAGAGGTTGCATCTTTGGAGGGACACGTTCTGTTGAAAAAACTCAGAGATGCATTAGAATCTTTAAGAGGCCGTTTTGCAGGAATAAACAAAGAGGATGTGGAGAAAGCTATCTCTATGGTTTGTTATTTTTTATTATTTCATGTTGAGTACATTACATTGTTTAAAGTTTGAAATGTTATCTCATTCCATCTGATGACCAGACAACAATCGAATTTTCACTTCGTGTTATATATGCTAAGAATTCATAACAATTTATTCCTCGCAGGTGGAAGCTTTAGCAGTTAAGTTGACTCAAAATGAAGGAGAATTGATTCAAGAGAAGTTTGAAGTGAAGAAGCTAGTAAACTTTCTCAAACAGGTCTTATTCGGCATCTGAACTTTTTGTAATTTGTTAACAATCTCCTCCTAAATTTCTGCTAATTCATAGTTAATTTGCTTGAACAATTTCTGAATTTTCACTATTAAAGATTTGATCAAATTCCAAAATTCACTTGGTTATCTTTTTTGTAGATTGTATAACAATAATTAGACAATGCATAGTTCGACATGTGTTTGTCTATTGTTTGCCAATAAACTGTTTCAAACTGTATTGCATAAATTTGTTGAGGCATTCCAATATCATAGAAGGGGGTTTGATGCATTAAATTGGTTCCTTTCTTTTCACGCTACCTTTCACAAGATTATCATTGTTCCCTTGACAATTTTATATTGTTAGTTAAGCTTAAATCACTTTCTAAAATGGTGTTAGAAACTATTCTGGAACCATTATAAGTGTCACTCATCATGTTATATACTACTAAGTATACCCAAGTCCCACATCGACTCAGAAATGTGCCAAAATACACATATAATTGAGGGAAATTCTCGTTATACAAACTGATTTTGTAAGATTGATTTAAACCTAATCCACTTTCTAAGATAGTGGAACCCATCTCTGTTATGTAGGCTTCTGAAGATGCTAAAAAGTTGGTTAATCAAGAGAAGTCTTTCGCATGTGCCGAAATTGAAAGTGCAAGGTCAGTGGTGCTGAGAATTGGGGAGGCGCTTGACGAACAAGAAAAAGCATCCCAAGCTTCTAAACCACAGGTACTAAAATTCTGTTTGATTGCACAATTAAATCTGTGTATAATTTTCCATTAATTAATTCATAATCAAGCATTACTTTGCACAATAATAATCTTCAATGTACACAGTAGAATTGTATGTTTGCGTATGGGAAAAAATTACTAAATTATCAATTTTAGGATAGAGAAGGGCTTTATTCTCTGTAGGATGGACACAGCTTGAGGATAACGTTTCCTATAGAAATTATATATGTTACAGAATTCTTATGAACTTAATTTCCCCATGACCTATACGAACTTGACTTGGAAAATTTCATAGTTTCATGCATGTGAAAAATCCATTGCATAAAAATACAAGGTTGGGTTTTCTGACTACCCTGTTTGTAGTTCTTTGCTAGTCATTTACATAATATCTTCATATCATGTTATACCATCCTTCAGTTCGTAATGTATATGGATGGGGAAAATCTCTAAAGATGCGTAATAGATATGTGGTTATTGTTATGCTTAGTACGTAATGTATGCAATATCTGTTGTTCCTCATTGTTAGGATGTGGATGGACTAATAGAAGAGGTTCAAGAAGCTAGAAGAATCAAATTGTTACATCAGCCAAGCAAGGTGAATTCCTTTGTTCTTCCTCAATACTGTTGTAGCGGATATTATTTGCTTAATTTCATTGTACTTCATTTTATAATAATGCCAATGATAGTGATAATAATGATGATAAAATAATCCAGATCTTCTCAAGAAGCATTGTAACCAATTTTTCCATAATTGTAGTTACTCTGTTACACATATCATACACCATGCTTAGATACCACATTTTCCCCTCAAACCTTACAAATGGGAAATTTTGATTTCGAAATATTTGGAATGCATATAAATGTCATTATTGCTGAAATTTGGTTTGGATTGTGTAAAATTGACCATACCATATCTCAAGAATGAAGATATATGACATGTTAACATTAATATTTATACATATGTTCAGTGTGAAAGATTTTACATAGTCAACCAATTAAATTTCAGCTTTAGTGTGAATTTTAGGGTGATTATTATCAATGTCAAATATAACAGGATAAAAGAAAACAAACTTCTAATATATGGTAGTTGTGATTGGATGATAGTGTAAAAATACTCTACACTGCCAGTGTATGTCCTTTTTTTCTTTTTTCTAATATTTTTGTGTACATAAATATTACTACTGTTAATTAATATACCCTACTATACCCATATCCTAAATATATTTAAATTTCCATTTCTATACGTCGTATAATTTGGGATAACTTGTACCGATCCGTATGCAGCACATCAATTTAAGGACCCATTTGCTAGAGTGTGTTACAATTTGAATATTCTTCATAGGGGTTATGGCAATTGTATGATTTCAGGTGATGGCCATGGAATATGAATTACGGGCTCTTAGGGACCAAATTCGAGAGAAATCTATATTTTCAATCAAGCTTCAGAAAGAGGTTTGTTAATATCTAGGTTTACTTGCTCAAATTAACTATCAAATCTGTTATCAATTTACTAGACTTGATGGAGCAGTCTTATGCTTGTGGTAGGACAATAGAAGTTTATTCATATACTTTTATTCCAACTGCACAAAAGAATAACTTTAAAGCTGGGTTGGCAGAAAAATATAGTATACTTTTTCTGACTGAGTTCCTAAACCTTTTTTAACTTTGGGTAATTCAAGTGTGAGTCTAAGTTCCACATCAAGTAAGAATGAGAAAGTTGAGTAATATATAAGGTAGAAAGATCTGTAATTCAATATTGAGTAACATATAAGGAAGAAAGACCCAATACTTAATCCACATCAAATAACTTTTTCTTACTTTTTAGTAAATTATGAATTATCTTTGTAATCCTATAGTGGATGAACTTCAGTTCAGTTGTTTTTTTTGGTAGAAATAGCTGCATCCAGTTGAATGGGAAGGAAAAAGTCATGTTAAACTGGCTGAAAAGAAAAAATAATTACTGTATTTACAAAAAAAATAAAAATTCTTGAATATAATGAAAGTTCATAAGCAGGGAAGCATTACAAATTTTAACCATTTAATATACTACTCTTTGACTGTTCCCAATTCTGGTATCGTAAGTGACTATAAAGTCCAACCATTTATTTTTATTTGCTAAGGATCAAGTTTCGTTCCACCACGTTTTTGTCCATATAGACTATATATTTGATTTTGAATCTGACTCATTTGTCCTCTTTTGTCTTGTCTCCCTCTTTTTCTCCTATTTGAATCAATTGTTAATAGTTTGTTTGAATTACGTGACCAAATTTTAACTCACAAATAACATGTCTGTCAAAATCTTTATTTTGTCATGTTTGAACCTGTTTTGGTTTTCAAACCAATTTTTGAAGGAAATGAATAAAAGTCTCTTATCGGCTGGATAAAACTATAGTTTGCAAACTATAATTTATACATGTTATTAATACTAAGATTTAATACACTTTGTTGTTACTTGGGGTTGAAGAGGGTGTCCAAGCTCCTTTTGGGTCAGCCGACTAGGTGTAAACCCAATGGGGGAAGGACCTACAAAAGACTCTCTGATACTTAAGTGAGTATGTGAATGAGAACAAAAAGTAGAATATGAATGAAGTAAATGAGATACTAAACCTGTTTATATAGGGGTGGATTACCATAACTGCTCGAGATGTATGTGATTTTTTATCCCTATTTATTAGAGGATACTTTGAGGTAATTCTCGAGTATATTGGGGTAAGTTGGTATCCAGATATCTTGAGTGTCGCCGAGATACTCGGATACTGCCTACATATTCGATCTAAGAATCTTGGCAGATATGGTACTTAGTTGTTTTAGGGCCAGTTACGTACATGCTTAAATATACTTTTCTTGCAATAACTTCATTCATCCATGGCAGCTAACCATGAACAAGAGGGATGAGGAAAATAAATCTCGCTTATATATGTTACATGGTTCTGAAGCTTTGGGTTCATATCTTCGAGTCCAACCTTGCTCAGATGAAGTGCCACATGTTTCTAAATGTTCATTTCAGTGGTATCGCTTGTCATCTGAAGGCAGCTGGAGGGAAGTTATTTCAGGTACCTCTCATTTTCTATTGTGTTTCAGAATACTCAGATCACAGTATTTGTATTGATTAATTTTAGTTACATGTATACTTGATTCTGATAGTTTGACATCCTTCTGGAAGTTTTTCAATGACTATATCATCTGTGTATATTATTCAAATTAGCCATTTTGCTTTCCATTGAAGATCTATACTTGAGACGTAAAACCATCTTTAGATTTCAGGATAGTTGGTCCTTGACATGGTATCAAAGCCTTTAAGTCAAATAGTGAGAATTCAATTTATTCCAATTCCAATCCGAGTTTGTTACACTGTTTGAAGTTGGTTTCCCTTCATTACTCAGGTGCCGTCAAATCAATATATGCTCCTGACCCCTCTGATGTTGGGAGAATATTACAAGTAGATATTGTCTCCAGTGGGAAAAAACTTACACTTACAACTAATCCCATTCAACCTGGTTAGTTTTTTATGGACCTTACCTTTTGTTTTTCCAAGCAAATTCTTCTGTTTCAAGTGTGCATAGTTGGGGTAATCTTGTTCCTGACAATACTTATCGATGCACTCAGAAGTAGAAAACAAAGGCTAACAGGTACCTGTCTGTGTGTAACAGTTTCAGGACTCGGAAGCCATGTGGAGTCACTTCTACGAAAGTCTAATACTGATTTTAATGTATGTTATCTGCATCCTTTTTAGATACAGTAATTTAACTATTCCTGGCAGAAAAGGCTGGACAAGTTATCTACTTCAAGCTTTCAATACATAAAATGTAGAAAAAGTGTCATTTAATTCAACAAACATTATAAAATATCTGTTTGTCTTCTCAGTTATCTCTGAAGATGATCTTTAAAAGCAGGGTTAAATTTTGTGGTCCCATAATTCAAGAAACATTATAAGCCTTGCTTACTAGGTTGAGAAATTTGCTTGTAAGTTCTTAACAGGAAAGTTCTTGATCCTGAGATTCTAGACCCTCGGATGGAACACCCCTTTCATATTTCAGTTCCCTTCCTTCCTCCCGTCCCCCCACCCGCCCTGTATTATTATTGTTGCAAACTTGCAGGCAAGTTTTGAGTATTGGGTTATAAACCACAAGTTATTGAATTTGCCATTCCAGTGTTTGATAAATGTGGAAGCTATATTTTTTAGTTTTTATTAATGTAACATAAAAGAGAGCCTTACATTCCTTGAACCAGTCTAAAGGAGTTTCCAACATGTGTTGTAACCCGCCTTGATGTTTCCTACATGAGTTTCGGAAAATAATTTAGTTTGTATTTGGATTTTCCGCAGGTAGTTATTTCTCAAATGAATGGAAAAGATCACTCATCACATTCTACTCATTCATTTAATGTGGGGAGAATGAGAATAAAGCTATGCAGAGGTTGGATTACAAAAGCTAGAGAGATTTATTCCCCATCAATGCAGGTACCATTTTGGCTATCAGTCCTTATCCTTGTTTCACAGGACCTGTTAAACGTGAAAGTTAAAGGCTCTCCATGTGCCCCGGGACACAAATTCACACATGGGAATTAACACTTCAGTTTTAATGTATTTCCTGTACAGAATTACTCCTTTCTAGTGTTTATTTAACACGGACAACCTAGATGAAGAGTAACATGTTTTTCTCAAAGGGAACTATTTCATTGGTGTACTCTTTTTTATGGTTTATCATCTTTTAAGTGCTCAATCTGACTACACCCCTTTAACTAACATTTTATTTAACTCTAGCTTTGTGGAGTTAGAAGTGATGTCAGTAATGCAGCGAAGGCATTGTTTTGGCAAGCTAGAAAAGGTCTCTCATTTGTATTAACCTTTGAATCAGAGAGAGACAGAAATATAGCCATCGTGGTTGCCAGGAAATATGCTCTTGATTGCAATGTATGCACTCCTCTCACCTGGTTATATACTACAGTTTATTTGGAGACAAATTAGGAATAAAAGATTAATGCTTTAATGAAAAATCATGCATTTCCTTGTTGAAATGGATCCCTTAATTTGATGCTAATTAAAAACGGGTATTTTGTTTTTTTAAATGACAGGTGGTGCTTGCTGGGCCAGATGATCTAGTGTAGAAGCAAAATTAACTGACTAAGTTCTTCCAACAAACGTGAGGTTTATCATATTATTGGTGTGAGTATACATGTGTGGTTGTTTTGTTAAAGCAAGATGTGATTTCATATTTGTGATTGGTTTTCCACTAATTGAGTTGCATTGTTTTAGGCATGTTTTTTTATTTGCCTAATCATGTTGTACCAATCTCAACTTTTTATAATTATTAGTTCATTTGTTCATTGTGGCTAATTTGCATGTGGTAGTTGTTTTGTAATGTAAAGCACATCCCAAACATGGTATATACCAAAATTTCTTGATGATTACTGGCACAAAATTTTGCCATGCATCCTTTGGAAGGAAGTACTGATTAACACTCTACTCTTTTATTGCTGACAATTATTGAATTATTGGACTCCGTAGTTGCTAAAAGTAATAAAAATTGTTGTTGCAAACGGTGACAATCGTGCATCTTTCTTAGAAACTGAAGGCCAGTTTGTTACTTCACAAATACAATTTTAATTTTAAATTACTTTTTATCTTATTACAGTGTTAAGTTCACTTTCCTAATGGTATAGGATGAATTATCATATTCGATATCTATTAGTTTTTTTAATTTTAATTCGAAATTTTATTTATAAAAAATATGTGATGGTGTATATAAAATATTAATGTCGATTTCTATTCTAAACATGATACTTACAAATATATGTTATATTTTAAAATTTATTTGCATTCATTAAATTGAATATTATATTTTAAATGTTCAGACACTTTAAAAAAAGTAGTTTGCTTTTTTTTTTTTTGTAAGAGAAACAAATGTTTTTAAACGGTTTAGTTCTTAATCCAAACTATGTCCGAGCTGTTTAAAAAAATGGCTTGGAACCTTAAATAACTTATTATGAACTGAGCTTCTTTAAAGCAGTATTATGAATTGGAATCAGTTTTCAACGGATTTTAAAAATTGGACTTTATGAAAAATGTTACATAAATCAATATGAGGAAAAAAATATAAATCTATACTAATATAAAGAGATTTATGTATATATCAAATTGATTTTTTGAAATTTTTTTACACAATTTTTAATTGCAACCTTATAACCTATCCTATTATTGTTGATCTTTGGACCAATACGACGACAACCTTTAACTCTCAATAAGAATATATATTATACAAATTTAAATACATGCTATAAATGCTCAAAATATAATTTAAGTTTTATTTCAATATTATGTAAAGATATTTAATAAAAATAATTATTAAGGATATTAAAGTGAAACTCTAATTAAAAAAAAGAGTCAATAATACTTTAATGTTTTACCGGAATTCTTTTCTTATATTTTCTCAATCCCTAGGTATAACATAGATAATCAATTTACATTTATTGAAAAATTAATTAATTTAGTTAATTATATTAAATTTGTTTATAATTATAATAATTTTCTGAATTATACTCAAATAATTAATGTAGGGAAAGAAGATAATAGTAATACACAAAATTTACTTTTTTAAGATTAAACTTTCTAGTTTTTTGGATTTTTATAAGAGGAGAGGAGAGAAAGAGTGAATGGTTTAATTTAGATTAGTTTCTACAAGTTTTTTTTTCTTTACTCAATTCAACTTAGAAGAGTATTTACATTTTTCTAGAATAATTTGTTCTAAAAAACTTTATCATTTAATAATTCATTTAATTAATAGAATTAATTGAATAATAATAATATTCTAATTTATATGAAATTTTTGTCAGAGATGTTTGAAACTATGCATTAAATAATGCACTTAAATGTAACTAAAATCAGCTTAATCACTAGACTAATATATTATTTTGTTACAACTATTTCAAAAGTTATATTCATAAGCGTTTACAATATAAATTGTTTTGTACTAAGATATTGTTTATATAAACATAATGAGGTATTTTATATTTAAAATATTTCATGATATTATTTTTTAGTATCTCTTTAAACATATAAAATACTTACCAACGGTAATTGACAAAAGGGTAACAACTTGTATGTTATAATAAGCATTTTAAAATTCAAATTATTGTTATGTGATTTTAGTCTTACTTATATTATCAGTTTGTATAATATGTAAAAAGAAAAAGAAAAAAAAGAGAGCCTTATTAATTGCAGACTAAAATAATTAAAACAAATCTTAATACAGTAAAATTTCAAAACTAACCACTGAACGGCTTAAAAAATGACCGTTGAAGGGAGTAGAAACCTATATCAGTGTCTCCTCTCAACTCTTTGGTTGACACCCATCTGCGCATAGAGAGGGAGAGAGAGAGAGAGAGAGAGAAAGAGGTTATATCCAATACTTTAATTTCAATTATAGACTAAAGAAGAGCTTTTAAATGGCATCAAGATCCATAGTTCAAAAACAGGCCAAAGGTATTGTCTCCTTTTATTTTGCTGGGGTCCAAAATATTTTGGTTTACTATTTTATTGATTTTCCAAAAATCTACACTTATAAATAAGCGTAGGAAAATCAAAAATTTCTAATATTTCTATTGTTTTTCTTAATTCATGCCTAAGTCCATTATCAAATTTTATACATTTCATTCTTTCATCAAGGTGATAAAAGAATGCAGAGTATTTCCCTAGCTCTTCAAACTTAAAGGCATATTCTTCTGTTGTCATACCTCCTTGCTTTAATTGCATAAACTCAACTTCTTTTCCTCTACTCACATCATTAGGAAAATATTTTTCTAAAATTTTTATTCTAAACTCCTCCCAAGTAATGATTATTCTTTCGCCTTTTAATGATTCTTCTGTTGTTCATACTACTACTATGTGTGATGTCAAGATATATATTTTTTTAAGTAAAATGCAAGGATTCTTGTCTGATCCTTCAAGGAGTTAGTTCAAATTTTCATTTTTTCTTCTCTCTTAGACGAAACAATGAAAAATCTTGTAGGGAGCATTCAAATCTGTTGGAATGACAGACAAGTTTCAGTTTTTCCGGGTTTGGTTACTCACCAATCTTTTCGGAGCAAAAGGGTCTCTCTTACTATTTTTTTGTTAGTTGGAATTGTCTCGAATGTTGCATGTGAATCTGTGTTCAGATAAAAAATTATGCATCAGATATTGAATGAGTGGCTCTTTTGGAATTTCATTGGTGAAGCAGTAATAGGGGGAGGAGAACAGCCGAAGAAGAAGGATGTAGCGAATGGAAGGAACCGCAAGGCATTAGGTGAAGTGGGGAATGTGGCCAATGTAAGAGGAGTTGAAGGCAAGCCCAATCGCCCCATCACAAGGTTCTCTCTCTTTCTCTTTCTCTTCACCGACTCAGTCAATATTAATGCGATATTTTCTATGATTCTTTTAGGAGAGTTGGTGCCAATGCACCAGTATCAGCCGCTGCTAAAAACAAGGTGAACTACTCTCCACATAACATGTTTTATTTTATTTTAGTTGATTGTTCCATGTACTTTAACTATCTTATCAAATTATGATTGTTCTTTTGTTTTGGAATTGCAGAAACAAGCTTGTAAAAATGTGACTGGTCCTCCTCCTGTTGCTAAGGGAGTTGCATTGGCAAAGAAAGCTGCCACCAAACAGGGTCAGAGGAAAGTCACCGTAAAACCAAAGCCTGAGGAAGTCAATGGTATGGAAGCTAGTGCAGACAAGGAGTTCCAGAAAGACAAGAAACAAGCTTGTGCTAATATGGCTGGACGACCTCCTACTGTTTCTGATAGAATTGCAGTGGCCAAAAGAGTGGCTGCCAAACCGGGTCAGAAGAAAGTGACTGTAAAACCAAAGCCTGAGGAAGTCATTATCATTGAAGCTAATCAGATGAACAAGAAAAAGGAAAATGATGGCAACTTCAAGAAGAAACCACATCCTTTTACTTCGGTGCTCACAGCTCGAAGCAAGGTAGTAGAGATAATAAAAACAAAATGAAAAAAAAAAAGAAAATCCTATGTAAATGTCACCATGCCTCTTTTCTCACAAGAAGTATTGTGGTATTCTATTGCTTCGCAGGCAGCATGCGGCATAACTAACAAACTGAGGGAGCAGATTATTGACATTGATGCTGGTGATATTGGCAATGAGCTTGCTGCTGTGGAGTATATTGATGACATTTACAAGTTCTGTAAGCTTGTTGAGGTATCAAACATGGTTCCCTTTACCTTTTTTTTTTTCTTGTGTCGTGTTTGATGTCATGGCATTCTTATATGTGAATGTGCATTTGATGCATGAAGAATGAGAACCGCCCCCATGACTATATAGACTCACAACCTGAGGTGAATGAGAGAATGAGAGCTATACTGGTTGATTGGCTGATAGAAGTCAACACCAAGTTTGACCTTTCACCTGAGACCCTTTACTTGACAATCAATATAATTGATCGGTTCCTAGCAGTTAAGAATGTTCCGAGGAGAGAAATGCAATTGGTTGGTATCAGTGCCATGCTGATTGCAAGCAAATATGAAGAAGTCTATCACCCTCAGGCATGTATATATGTATTGCTAACTTGATATGTTAATTGATGTATTGTTCTTTTCAATGAATGTCAAGGGAATAACACTTGTCTTTATTTGCAGGTTAGTAGCTTAGTCTTCCTCTCAGATGGGGCTTACACTCACGAACAGATACTTGTTATGGAGAAAATCATACTGGGCAAGCTTGAATGGAATTTAACTGTGCCAACACCTTTGGTTTTCCTAGTTCGTTTTATCAAGGCATCAGTCCCAGATCAAGAGGTCAGAGATTATTGTGAACTTTTTCTTTTTCAAGTCTGTCTTTGTAAAATATGACTCTTACTTTATTTTCATTTGATGTCTTGTCTGTATTTCCTTCTGAATTTCTGCATTTCCAGTTGGAAAATATGGCTCATTTTCTGTCTGAGTTGGGAATGATGAATTATGCAACCTTAAGGTATTGCCCATCAATGGTTGCTGCTTCGGCAGTGTATGCAGCTAGATGCACTCTGAATAAGGCTTCCTTCTGGAGTGAGACACTTAAGCTGCACACGGGCTACTCACAAGAACAACTTATGTATGTAAATATGATTCGGTCTTGTTAATATTCATAGTTATCATTCAACTGATTCTTAAATTTTAATTCTATTTGCTTTGTTGTTTGCAAACAAAAACAGGGATTGTGGTAGATCATTGGTGAGCTTCCACTCCATGTATGGGAAGGGAAAGCTGAAGTTTGTGCACGGAAAGTATTCTGATCCTCATAAAGGAGCTGTTGCTATGCTCCCACCAGCTAAAAATCTTCTGCCTCCCTATAGAGTTAATGAAGAAAAGGGAGGAGCAGGAATTGAATACAAAACTGATATATAAAAGTTGCAAGTTTCCATCTATGGTCACTAAGTGCAACCATGATGACCAGTATACCAAAAGTAAATAGTACGAGAATGAGTGGACAAATCCTAATATGTAATATGTAGTATGACATTGTAATAAGAAAGTCTTCCTAAGTAGAGTTTTTCTTATTTATTTTTTTTTCTCCTACTGTATGGTATAACTTTAGATATTTTTTTTAAATTAAAATTCATGTTATGGGATACGAGTTAAAAAAAAAAATTCGTATTACACGAAAACGAATTGTTCGTTTTTTTTTAATTTATGTTTTGGTTTTTTTAATTATTAATACTAGCATTACTTCAATTTTTTTTTCTTTTTTACCTTTTAATATTATTCCAATTATAAGAAAAAAAAATATATATATATAAGAATAGTTAAAAAATAAGAAATATATATATAATAAAAATATATGTTCAATCTAGCATAACGCATGAACTCTCTTTAAAAGGACTACAAATCTTACCAATATATGTCATAATCAAAACTATGTTTAAAATAACAAAATCATGATTTATTAAAGGTGATATAAATAAGACACAAATACTTACAAAAAGTATGTTACTTTGCTTATAGAACACTGACATATCAAGTATCATGTCTAAAGATATAATAGGGAAAATAGTAAATTTAAAATTCAAAAATTATAAAACCTAGAACATGATGGACAAACACTAAGATATGCAATTAGATTACATGACTAGTATGATTGTGAAAAATTTTAAGTTCTCCTACTATCTTACTCACATATTATCATTATGTGTTCCTTATGTATATATATATATATATATATATATATATATATATATATATATATATATATATATATATGTTTAATATTTAAGTTAATATGAATTTTCAAACGATAAATTCATCGATATGAAATAAAAATTATTGATTTTCTTATACATATCAAAATTTGAGAAAATATAATACAACTTGCATCTATAACGAAACAGATAAGTTAAACTAAAAAAAATGTTTTTTTATTGAAGGTCAAAATAGTAATAATTATTTAGATAATAATATTATAATATTTTCCTTTTAATATTAATATATTTTTTTTATAAATTAAATTCTCCTTAAATTTTTTAATATATTTTTTTAACCACATGATTTGTTTTGGATTGAAAATAAAAATAAAATTAACCTAATCAATCTAATTATGCGTATTTAGATATTATATTATATATTTAGATTTATTATCAATTAGTATATTTTGTGAATGTTGTTTTACATTTCGATTATATTTTACTTATAATATATTTATATTTATCAAAATATTATAATAAATTTGTATTTAACTTTTAATTATAACATGATGAATTTATTTATGAATTTAATAAAATTTAAAAATTTCATTGTAACAATAACTACAAAAAAATAACATATTTATATGGTTTTTTATTAGAAAATATTTTAAAAAAATTCTAAAAAATGTTTTACAATTATTTTTTAAAAATATTTGAAAATTTGTAATATAAAAATAGTAAAAATTAATCCAAACAAAATCATAAAACATCAATTATTAAATTTAAATTTTATATTAAATTAAATTAATCATTTTAAAATTCATTACCCTTTCCGCCTCCTTTTCCATTAATTACTGTTGATTTTTTAAATATCAAACGGCTATATTACTCTTAACTATCAGATGAATGCAAAATCAAACCGCTTCAAAAGTTGTTAAGAAAACTTACCGTTGAAGGCAAACCTATTTAAGTGTTCCCTCTCACCTCATTCTCGTTCACTCTAGTCAGAGAGAGGGGGTAAAGACACAATTTAAGACAAAATATCAGTTTTCCAAATGGCATCAAGACCCACAGTTAAACAACAGGCCAAAGGTATTTTTGTATCGTCTTTTTTTAATCATTGCATGTATAATGTACTCTTTGATCGTTCGATGATGCTGCCATGCTGCTTTCATATTTCTTGTTCTTCTCAAAGTAAGATTGACTAAATCTTTCTTGTCTGATCCGCTGGGGCCTTGGTTCAAATTTTATTTTAATTTGGATCTTGGGGTTTCAGGGTTGGTTTCTTTTGCTAGATGAAAACATGAAAGAGTCTCTCTTTTTGTTCTCGAATTATCTTATTATGTGTAGCATTTGAATTTGTGCGTTTAGATCCAAAGCTATTTATCATCTTTTCAAATGAGTAACTTTTTTTGCAATTCATAGGTGAGGCAGTAGTGGGGGGAGGGAAACAGCAGAAGAAAGGTGTAGCAGATGGAAGAAACCGCAAGGCATTAGGTGATATTGGGAATTTGGTCAATGTAGGAGAAATTGAAATCAATCCTAATCGCCCCATCACAAGGTTTTTTTTTTTTTTTTTTCTCTCTCTCAAATTCAATACTTGGTGATATTGTTGTGATTCTTTTAGGAGTTTTGGAGCTCTACTACTTGCCAAGACACAAGCAGCAGCTAAGAATAATAAGGTGCACTACTCTATATATTACTTGTTCAATTATCCTGTATGGTTATGACTAAGTTTTGTTTTGGAATTGCAGAAACAGGATTCTGCCAATGTGGCTGGACCTCCACCTGTTAATGCAGTTGCAGTGACCAAAAGAGCGGTCCCCAAACCAGGTCCGAAGAAAGTCACTGTAAAACCAAAACCTGAGAAAGCCATTAAAAATGAAGCCATCCCAGATAAGGAGATTCAGAAAGACAAGAAAAGAAAAGGAGATGACAACTACAAGAAGAAATCACGCGCCTTTACTTCAGTGCTCACAGCTCGAAGCAAAGTAGCTTGAGAAAAGAATTTTATTTAAAAAAAAAATTGCTATGTTAAAGAATGCCACTATGCCACTCTTCTTGACTGGACTTGTGATATTCTATTGCAGGCAGCATCCGGCATAACTAACCACAAACCGAAGGAGCAGGTTATTGACATTGATGCAGGTGATGTTGACAATGAGCTTGCTGCTGTGGAGTATGTTGATGACCTTTACAAGTTCTATAAGCTTGTTGAGGTAACAAACGTGGTTCCTCCCTTAATCCCTTTTTTATGTTCTGTTTGATGTGATGTCACTCTAATATGTGAATGTTCATTTGATGCATGAAGAATGAGAACCGCCCTCGTGACTACATAGAATCGCAACCTGATATAAATAAGAGGTCGAGAGCTATACTAGTCAATTGGCTTATAGAAGTCAACACCAAGTTTGAACTTTCACTTGAGACCCTTTACTTGACAATCAATATAATTGATCGGTTCCTAGCAGTTAAGAGTGTTCCAGGGAAGGAACTACAACTGGTTGGCATCAGTGCCATGCTGATGGCATCCAAGTATGAGGAAATCTGGGCCCCTGGGGTAAGTATATATGTATGTATATGTGTGTGTATATATATATATATATATATATATATATATATATATATATATATATATATATATATATATATGCTACACTGATGTGTTCATTGATGTATTCGCCTTTTCAATGAATTTCAAGGGAATAACACTTGTCTTGTATTTCAGGTTGATAATTTGGTCTGCTTTACAACTTACAGCCATGAACAAATACTAGTCATGGAAAAAATCATACTAGATAAGCTAGAATGGACTTTGACTGTGCCAACACCTCTGGTTTTCCTGGTTCGCTTTATCAAGGCATCAGTCCCAGACCAGGAGGTGAGTGAGTGGCCTTTTTCTTCAAATCTCTTAAATTATGATTCTTGCTTTATAGATGTCTTGTCTAAATTTCTTTCTCAATGTCTTCATTTTCAGTTGGAAAACATGACTCATTTTCTGTCTGAGTTGGGATTGATGCACTATGACACCTTAATGTATAGCCCATCAATGTTTGCTGCCTCGGCAGTCTTTGCAGCTAGATGCACTCTGAATAAGACTCCCCTTTGGAATGAGACACTTAAGCTACACACGGGTTACTCACAAGAACAACTTATGTATGTAAATATAAATTTGACTTGCCAATTTTATTTTTTTTTTTTTGGATTGCATCAATCATTACTATCATTCTATATATTGATTCTTAAATTATAAGTCTATTTGGGTTTGTTGGTTGCAAACAGGGAATGTGCTAGATTATTGGTGAGTTTCCACTCCATGGTTGGGAATGAAGAGCTGAAGGTTGTGTACAGAAAGTATTCTGATCCTCAGAAAGGAGCTGTTGCTATGCTCCCACCAGCTAAAAATCTTCTGCCTGAAGGTTCTGTCTCATAACAGGGTTAATACAGAAAAAGGTAGAAGCAGGATAGAGTATATTATGCAGGATTCGCCAAAATTTTGTATTACATATTTTAATAAAACTGATTTATAAAATTTACAAGTTGTTCACAATCCAATTTCTTCATCGACTTATCATATCATATCAAGGTTCATTGCTAACATATAACATGTTGATGCGAACATATCGTTAAAACATTATTTTCAAAATTGCATAGTGTGCTTTCAACGTCTTTTAAGTAGTTTTTTCCGTGTTTACGGTTTGAATTTAGAATTTAGGGTCTAATTAAAATTTATTAAAATAAATAAATTTTTAAAAAATTATGAATTTAGTTAATGATACGATTTTAATATAAATTATTAATATAGAAATAATATTTTTAAATATTTAGTTTATATATAAATTTTAACTTTTTATTTTTTAATAATTTATTATTATAAATAAATAAAAATATAATACTAATATTTTTATATTATTACTATATTTAATCATAATAATAATATTTTTTTATTAAATTAAATCATAATTATTTTATATTATTTATATAGTAAATAATTATTATTAATCTATTATTATATTGTTTTATTAATATTATTATAAGTTATGATAAAAAATTACTATTAATAAAATAGTATCAATAATACGATTAAATTAATAATAATAATAATAATGATTATAAAATAAAATTATTATTATTAATTTTATTAATAATACTAATAATATAAAACTATTATTTTTATTGATAATAATAATAAATTATTACAAATTTATTAATAATAATACTTTTATTTATTAATATTTATTATCAATTTTATTATTATAGTCAATATTATTATTATTAATATTGTTTTATTATTAATCAAAATATTATTATTGTTTTTATTATTATAAATTATAACAATATTATTAATAAATAATATAATTATAGATTAATAATTATTATTATTATTTATTTCATTAAAAAAATAATTAAATATATTATTAATATGGAAATATTATTATATTTTTATTTATTTATAATAATAATAATAATAATAATAATGAATTATTAAAAAAATTAAGTCATACCACCCATTTATTTCTATCTAAAATAAAATAAATTGAAGTCGTAATTAAATACAAATTTTTATTTATTTAAATTTATAATTTTTTTAATATTTATTCTGGTAAATTTAAAAAATAATTACACCTTTTTCGGGAAAAGAAAATTCTGAATTGCTATCATATTTTCTGTTATAATCTTGAAACAACATTTTTTTTAATTGTGTTTTTCACCACCAATATACTCGTAAAACTTTTTCAGAATCTTCATAAAATTTTGATTTCTCGAAAATTCAAAATTTGGAGTCACTATCCAATAGAAAAAATATTTAGTCTTGTTTGGGTTTTATACCTTTGGAGCTTAAGTCAAATGTTAGTTATTTCCTCTTGTTCTATTATTCAATTTTAGGGTTTTCTAGTTAGAAAGATAAATATGACTTATAATTATCATAATCAATTCTTATGTTAAAAAATATGATGAAAAAATTAAAAAAAAATCAAATCTAAACAATTTAAAAAGGATTGAACTTATATTTTTTGTAACAATGTAGGTAAATTTCTTCCGTGGATGTAAAATACGTTGGCAAAGATTTTTGGAAGAAGAAGACATTTTGTGATGCTAGTTATTTTTTGTATACACAACCATTAATGTTAATTTTTTAGCATGGTGTGAATGAAGAATATGTACTATATATGGGGAAGATTGATTGGTTTTCGGTTTAAGGTTGATAAAAAAAATTGAGTTAATTGAGGTAGAGATAAATATATAACCTTTATTTAATGTTCTAATTTTATATTTAAATTTAAATATTAAAATTTTAAAATTTTAAAAATATATATTTTTATATTATATATAAGTTTTTTTATATTTTATTACCTTTATTTTATTTTTTACTTATTTTTTACTTTATTTTAATGAAAAAATACTATATGAAATACTTTATAATTAAAAAAAACTCTTATCATATTTTGGTATTAACCATCATAAGTTTATAGAACTTTGCTGTGCTAATCAGAATATACTTCTCATTAATCTTATTTTTCATAAGTTTATCTAATATATTAAAGTAAATTATCACTTTATTTGTAATAAATTTTTTAGAGAAATTATTGTTATAGGTCATATATTTTGTCACGTTCAACTAACATATATCTTCGCCAATATTTTAGGAAAGATGATTGTATTTTTTTTAAGTTGGATATTTGTAATCTATATACTATAATTCCTAAATCCTACAAATTTTATTCGGAATTACTGGTATGAAGATCAAAGTAGAATAGATTTTGTGTATGGATATAAGAATTATATTAAAAATTCTTATTTAGATTTAAATACGAAATTAATATTTTAATTCTATGATTAATCTTTTAGAGAAATGATTTTTCAAAAGATTCTGTTTCTTGAAAACTGTGTAGAATGATTTTTAGAAATATTTTAGAACTATCTTTCCGAAAATGTTTTCAAAAAGTTTAAAATTAATTTTCTGAAAAATTGTTCCAAAACGTCTTTAGAAAATATAAAAAGGTCGTGCTAGAGAAAAATGAATTTGAAACTTATTTGTATTAGATTAAAGATATGAATGTAAAGACTTCAGACAATAAGGTATTGATCTAAAGGGAAACCAACATAAAAAAAAATTAAATTTAAAATTGAAGATAATGTATAAAAGTATTTGAACAACTTTCAACAGAATAAAATAGTTTCAAATAACAAGAGGTTAATAATTGCGTGCTCCAATTTTTTTTTTCTTTTGTGATGTTTTCTCTATTTGCTTTTTAACTTTATCATAAATAAGAGAAACATTAACCAATTCTCTTCGTAATATTTTAGGATACTACAGATAACACAAAGAGACTCAATACCCCTTCAGATCTTGTAATTTCTCTTGCAATTATTTTTTCTTTATTATCAAAAACTCCTATAAACGCTTTTTATTTACTTGATATTATTTGAGCATGGTCGAAAAAACAATTTGCAAACACGTGTAAAGAAGGTTGAAAAGAATTTATTAATTTTTTATAATAGGCATTATCACATATTTAAATTCACTTCTTCTTTTTTCTATAACCAATTACCCTTCACACGAGTAAAAAACATAAAGCCAACTAATAATAAGCCATATATTAATAGGTAATTGAAATTAATTAGCAAAATAAGTAAATAATAATAAATTAGAACGGCTAACTCAGTGGCTTGAACTCGTTTACCCATCTAAATTGCTATTGTCAACAGTTGTGAAAAAAAAAAACTATTACTAATCAATTATATAACTTAAACAAAAAACCAATTATATCACTAAACAGGTAGATACGAGAAATAGCCGTGAACAATACATGTCATATTCACCATCAGACAAAATTATATTATTATTATTATTATTAGTACCAGTATTATTATCTTATCCTGATTAAATAACGAGGTTAATAATTTTTAATTTTTTTAATAACGAGGTTACTATTCCTTTGTGGCTATATATATATATATACCAGAAATCTAAAAGCGGAACTAGAGAATTGACAGCATCACGAAGCCATGCTAGAAAAATAATTAAAATTATAAATAATAATTAATTCGCCAGATATAAAAATTAAGAAGACATTTTATTACCGTCACATATTATATTCCTATTCCTTTACAGCACTTTCCCTGCACACACGTTCTAGGTTTCGAATTTCCAACGGCTATATTATTCTGGAACCTTAATCGTCGGATGAATGTAAATCCAAAGGTCCAAATTTGGCTACAGAAATTGACCGTTGAAGAGCGAAGCGTTCTGTCTGTCCCTCAGCCTCAAAAGTGAAGGCTATTTCACTGTCCCTCCCACCCTCAATTTCATTCACACTTATTCTTCGTCCAGACAGAGAAAGGAGAGAGGGAGGGGGAAAGTACCAACCCCTCTACCCAGATTTGTTTGTCATACTTTGATTTCAGTTCAAGACTTAAAGAATATCCCAAATGGCATCAAGAGCAATAGTTCAACAACAAGCCAGAGGTAGTGTCCTTTTCAATCTTTGTATTTTTATTTTTATTTTTTTCAATGTTTGCTTCTTGTTTGAAGGAGTCTTTGTGGTTTCTTTGTATTGGATGAAATTAAGAAAAATACCACTTGGGACAAGTTTCAGTTTTCCCGGTTTTTCTTAACTCGTCATTCTTTTCAGAGCAAAAGGGTCTCTAGTGTTTTTTCATTTTTTGTTGTTGCCGGGGTAATCTTGTGAATTTGTGTTTAGATCAGAAGCAATCTGTCACCTTTTTTAATCGATGGCTTTGTTGTAACTTCATAGGCGAAGATGTAATTGGGGGAGGAAAGCAGCAGAAGAAGAACGGTGTAGCGGATGGAAAGAATCGCAAGGTGTTGGGTGATATTGGGAATTTGGCCAATGTAAGAGGAGTTGAAGTCAAGCCTCATCGCCCCATCACAAGGTTCCCTCTCTTGTTCTCTCTATCTCTTTCTTTCTCTCATTTACTCGATATTGATGTGATATTATTATGATTCTTTTAGGAGTTTTGGTGCCCAACTACTTGCCAATGCACAAGCCGCAGCAGTTGTTGAGAATAACAAGGTGACCTACACTTTATGCTACTTTGTTTCATTTTACCTTGGGCGGATTGTTGTTCAATAGTTTGGTTATGTTACCATGTTATGACTGTTTTTTATTTTGGAGTTGTAGAAACAAGCTTGTGCTAATGTCGCTGGTCCTGCTCCTGTTGCCGTGGCCAAGAGAGTCCCCAAGCCGGCTCAGAAGAGAGTTACTGTTAAACCAAAACCTGAGGAAGTCATTGACATTGAAGATAGTCCAGTGAAGGAGGTCCAGCAAGACAAGAAAAAGGAAGGAAATGCCAAGTCCAAGAAGAAATCACAAGCTTATACTTCAGTGCTGACCGCTAGAAGCAAGGTAGATACAGATAATAAAAATAAAATGAAAAAATAAGTGTCTGCCTGAACCTATACTGTATGTATCACTAATATGCCATGCCATCTTTCGTCCCTTTGATGTTATAGGCAGCATGTGGCATAACCAACAAACCAAAGGTGAATATTATTGACATTGATGCCAGTGATGTTGACAACGAACTTGCTGCTGTGGAGTATATTGATGAAATTTACAAGTTCTATAAACTTGTTGAGGTATTGAACTTGGTTTCTGATATATATTTTATTTTTATTTATTGCGTTTGATATTATGGTATTCTAATATTGCGAATGTGCATTTGATGCATGAAGCACGAAAGCCGCCCCCATTACTACATAGATTCACAGCCTGAGATAAATGAGAAGATGAGAGCTATTCTGGTTGATTGGCTGATAGATGTCCACAGCAAGTTTGAACTTTCACTTGAGACCCTTTACCTGACCATCAATATAATCGATCGATTCCTATCTGTGAAGACTGTTCCAAGGCGGGAGCTGCAATTGGTTGGCATCAGTGCCATGCTGATGGCATCGAAGTATGAAGAAATCTGGCCACCTGAGGTATATATTTTTGTTGCTACCTTGATGAATGTCAAGATAATGAAACTGGGAAATAACATAACACTTTGTCTTGCATTGCAGGTTGATGACTTTGTCCGCCTCTCAGATAGGGCTTACACTCATGAACAGATACTTGTTATGGAGAAAATCATACTGGGAAAGTTGGAATGGACGTTGACTGTTCCCACACCTTATGTCTTCCTTGTGCGTTTTATCAAGGCATCAGTCCCAGATCAAGAGGTGAGTGAATTTGTGACCTTTTATTCTCTAGTATAACATATGTTTTTTACCTTATTTTCATTTGATGTCTTGCCTGATTTTCTTTCTCAATGTCTTCATTTTCAGTTGGAAATCATGACTCATTTTCTGTCTGAGTTGGGATTGATGCACTATGACACCTTGATGTATAGCCCATCAATGGTTGCTGCCTCAGCAGTCTTTGCAGCTAGATGCACTCTGAATAAGACTCCCCTTTGGAATGAGACACTTAAGCTGCACACGGGTTACTCACAAGAACAACTTATGTATGTAAATATGATTTTGTCTGGTGATTGTTATTTTGATTTTAATTACTATTCATATTACCTTGTTGCTTAAATTCTATTTGGCATTGTTGCAAACCAGGGATTGTGCTAGACTATTGGTGAGTTTCCACTCCACTGTTGGGAATGGAAAGCTTAAGGTTGTGTTCAAAAAGTATTCTGATCCTCAGAAGGGAGCTGTTGCTGCGCTCCCACCAGCTAAATATCTTCTGCCAGAAGGTGTTGTATCCCAACAGAGTTAGAAAAAATGTGCAAAGGAAGAAGCTGACATAGAATGTTTTATACGGGTTTCAGAAATAATCCGTTGTAGTTTTTTTCCTTGATTGTACTGGTTTACAAAAACTGATTTTATATATAAATTGCAAGTTTTCCACTTGCCAAATTCCTTCACTAAGTTCACGGGTTCGTTGATAAGATACAAATGCACTGTTATATTGTTGAAAACTTGTGTGATGTTGCTGCTGACATAATGCCATGTTAGAAGCATAACAATGTTATATAATGCCAACAAACACTAAAAAATCATAAAACAAAACAAACACTCAAAAAAATCAAGAAACAACGTTTTTTTATTTTTTTTGCTCGTAGTCATTCCGTAACATGATGTTGTCCAGAGTTTTGTTTATAAAATAATGTTAGAACTTCTGTAATGAGAAGTATATCTTTGCTTTTAAAGATTAACTTCAAAATTATTTGTATCTTTAATTAGTGGCAATCTATTTATTAAAACCATTATTTATTATTATTCTTATTTTCAACAAATCATTTATTGTGACTAAAATTATATATTAATTACAATATTAATATAGAATTAATCAAATGTTTTTTTTCTTTAGTCATGCAAATCTTCCACCCTCTTTTCTCATCTCTCATAACCTTTTTTTTTCTTCAAAATTTTCTCTATAAATACATACATAAAATCCACTATAAATCTATTCAACCCTTTGAGATTATATTCTCTCGGAATTATCCATACCATTTTTACAGATTAAAGGTGACCTATATGGAAAAGGTGTCCGTAGTTCGGTTTGTTTAATTTTTCATTACATAATAACTTGAATAAAAAAAAACATTTTGTAGTTGGATTTGTTTAATTTTTCATTACATAATAACTTGAATAAAAAAATCATTTTGTAGTTGGATTTGTTTAATTTTTCATTACATAATAACTTGAATGAAAAAAATAAAAATTACAATTTTCATTATATAGTTGGATTTGTTTAATTTTTCATTATATAATAACTTGAATAAAAACATAAAAATTACAATTTTCATTCGTTTAATTTTAATTTTACGAATAAAAACATATTAATGAAAATTTAAATCAAACTAAATTAATATTTTGTGATTCTTAAATTAAATTTTACGAATTTTGTTACTATTCAATTTTTCAAATTTTATTACAAAAATGATGAAACTTTTAAAAAATGTTAAATACTTTATAATAAAAAATCTTAAATAAAAGATATATTGTAATTTTATTATGATTAATTTCAATTTTCATATTTATAATTTTAATATAAATTTGTTATCATTTGATAAATAAAAATATTATAAATAAAATATAATTAAATATTAAAATAAAAATAAATCTTCAATATATATATATATATATATATATATATATATATATATATATATATATTCTCAATTTGGAAATCCAAATTTCATGCTTAAAAAAGATATATCTAAAAAATTTAATTAATTTTCTATATTTATGTATATACCAATTTAATTTTAAACACTCATTCATATAAAAGAATATTATAAACAAAATACAATCAAACAATAAATTATTCTTTAAAAGACATATTTGTTAACCGGTTAATAACTCTAAATATATTATATTATATTTAAATATAATAAATGATACTACTTTGTATTTTTAATACGAAATCTAAATAAAATCATGTGATTTAGAAGAAGATATATTTAAAAAATCAAAGAAAAATGAATTTTTAATTTGTAATTAGTTTTCGATTATTTATTTAAATTGGTTTTATTTTAAGCATTCTTATAAAATAATCTATTTTTCTTAATTAAATTTTGTAAAATATGTCTTTTTAATGTAAGGTTTTTTATATCAAACTATGATATTTTTATATAACTTTTAATTTAGTAATTTAAATATATATTAGTTTTATTAAATATTCCTTTTCATTTTTTTTAACTTTGGAGTATAAAAAACAAATGTATTCTTGTTATATAATTTTATATTTATTATTTTTTTATTTGTTGAAGATGAATTTTTGAAAATATTTTTAATATTTGTTGTTGAATTTTGTTCAATTTAAGTGTTTATGCTTTGTTTTAATAACTTATTTTGTTTGATGGTTTATTATTATCTTTATTTTCATCATATTATATTATTTTTAATGTGAATTTAATATTTTTTAAAATGAGTAAAGTGTAAAGTGACACCGATCATGCTTATTAATATGTTTAATTTTCTTTATTAATTTTTTATTATTTTTTGTGTTGACATGTGATCATTGAAATTTATTATAAGGTGTTTGTCAAAAAGTGAGGACTAAGGTTTAAATAAGTATCGATATAATGATAAAAAAATAGTATAAATATTCACTTGAAAAAATGTCAATTATGTAAGTAAAGAATAATACTTTCACACGACTTTTATCCATTTATTTTAAGTAATATACACGTGAGTCTATTGTGCTTTTTTCTTTTATAATTCGATCAGGTTGATTATGATTTTAGATATTGATATTAAATATACTCAATTAATAATATTAGAGATTAGAATTTTCTTTAAGTTTGTATAATGTATATATAATACAATTTCGGGTAGATGACCTCGTAAGCTCGATATTAAAATTTACTAAAAATGAGAGTTATGATGTTATGTATGTATTGTGCTTAATTTAGAGTTTTGACCGAAATATATTTGATCTAAAGTCTTGGATTGAGTTATGCTTGAGGCTGAGCTTTGACCGATAATGAGAGGTTTTAAGATTTGCAACATTGTCCTTAATTACATTAGCATTTAGGTTTCTTCTTAAAAGTTATGCCCTAGGTTATGTGAAGTTCTGGACATAAAATATTTTTCTCTTCTTATAAAGAGTATCATGTCATTCATATCTTACACCTGACTCTTCCTTCTTCGAGATTGCTCTTCCTCTTTTGTTATTGTTTTCTTATTTATGTTCATTTTCTTCTTATTAAGTTCATGTTGTTTCATGCTCCTCTCTCTAATTTCTCCGGTGGTTCCAACAATTTGTAATTTATCAAACCACTTTTGGTTGAACGAGAAGTTTAGGCTATCGATCATGAGTTTACAAGAGAGGAGAATTCTTCTTACTCTTCTAAAAGTTTCTCCCATGGGAAGGCTCCTCCCTCTATGGAGGTTGTTTATATGTTTCTCGCATTAGAGAAATAGGGTTCTATCATAGAACTCCTCGTGGTAAGAATAAGTCCAAAAGGTCAAAATTGGAGATGAATTGAGGATCGCTAGGGTGGGTTAGAAGTGTAAGTTCTCTTCCATTTCTGATGGGGACATGACTATGAGCAAGGGTAAGAATCCACTTGAAGCAATTGGAGGATTTATGATAAAAGCTAGAGTAAGGGAAGCTCTTAAACAAATATTATCCATATTATTTGAATACAAGCCCACATTTCAAGGAGAAAAGACCAAAGTTGTGAATTGTATCATGACCCAAATGGAAGAGGACTAATGCGTCACTTTGTTTCAGTTTTTAAGTATGTTTAAATAATGGTTCAATCCTTTGTAAAATTGGTTGACCAAATTATATTTTGGGTTAATCAATTAATGAATTTTAGTTTTGTTTTGTTTCAAGTTGTAATAAGGGTCTAATTAAAAACTTAGGCATCAGCCTTTGGGAGACCAAGAGAGTGCATAGCTGATTGACTTTTGGTTGCCACAATTTCAGTTATAATCAATCATTAAGTAGTTTTTAATTCCTAGGTTAATAGATCATTATTAACATTTATTTTCCTTTATTGAATCTTTGTAACTCTGATGACAAAGCTTCTATATAAGCTGAACCATTTTTATCAAAAACACAAGTTGAGTTTTATCTTGGTGAATTTGATTCTCCTAAGTTTTTTAGTGATTCAATAACCCTTGGTTGTATCAAAGGACTTTCACATTCTTTGTAAGTTGTCTCCCTTGAGAAGAATGAAAACACTGTGGGGAGATTGATAGCAATGTGAAACATTTCCCTACATTTTGAAGAAGATGATTTTGATGAAGATTCAAGTCAATATCATTCAAGACTCAAGCAAGCTCAAGATGAAGCATGAAGACTAGATATACATTCTGAAGAAAATGATGACTCAAGCAAGCCTAAGATGAAGCATGAAGACTAGATAGAGTCTTAGAATACTGGATTTGGAGGTACAAGTTGATGAAGTGGTATTATGCATAAGCCTTCAAAGCACAAGTGTGATAAAATTTAGTAACATGACATTTTTCACTATCATAATTGATTATGATGCATCAAAAATGGAAAAACGATTTTCTCTATGTCATAATCGATTATACTGGTAACATAATCGATTATGACAGTTCAAATTTGAAAAATATATCCGTTTTTAAAGAATAAATATTTTTTGATACATCCTGATTTTTATCTACGAAATTATTAATGACCAACGACTATTTTCTGATGCTATTTTCCTATTTAAATGAGTTTTGATGAAAAATAAAAAATACACAATCATATAATTTGAAAATACAGTTTACAAACATTCAGTTTTAAGAAATTTATTCTGAACAAGGCAACAAAGCACTTTTAGGTTTTCTGAGAAAACTTTTTCATATTGTCTTTTGTGCTTTCATTGTCAATCACATTGTGCTATTGGAGTTATCATTCTACAAGCTTCTACAATTTGTTGTCTCCATTATCAGATGTGACTGTTCTTATTTTATTATCTTCATCCTTTGTGAGTTTAGGTGGTTGTTGTTATTTTATAGCCTTAATCCCCTTTTTAGGGTTTAGATGGTTGTTGTTCATCCTTTGATTTGTTCGGGGGAGGTGTTCATCCTTAGTGAGATTCTAAGGAAGTGTTTTCATTCCTTTGATTTGGGCGGGGAGGTGTTCATCCTTAGTGGGATTCTAAGGAGGTGTATTCATCTATTTGATTTGTTCAGGAAGGTGTTCATCCTTAGTGCGATTCTTGTTCGGATTGAGCACTTACCACTAGGCCAAAAACTATAGTCATTAGTCAGAGCACAACTTTTTTTTACTTAAGAGTAACAACC